CCCCCCCCCCCCCCCCCCCCCCCCCCCCCCCCCCAGGGCAGGATTGTCCTCTTTTCTAGGAGGGTAACAACTCAAAACTCTTTGCATCCTTCCTTCCAGTGGTTCATCATTAATTTATTTAAAAAAAAATGTTTACGTTATCTTATTTTTGAAAGAGAGAAAGAGATGGGGGGAGGGGCAGAGAGAGAGCGCGCGCGCGCGCACGAGAGAGAGAGAGAGAGAGAGAGAGAGAGAGAGAGAGAGAGAGAGGGAGGCACGGAATCTGAAGCAGGATCTAGGCTGAGCTGTTGGCACAACAGAGCCCCACGCAGGCCTCGAACCCACAGACTGTGAGACCATGACCTGAGTAGAAGTCAGACTCTCAACCGCTTAACCAACTGGGCCACACCCAGGCACCTGTCACATTAATGTAAATAAGGTAAAGACTCAGGGCACCCGGGTGGCCCGGTCGGTCGGTCGGCTGTCGTTTAAAGAAGACAAAGACTCAACTCTCAGTTTGCGTGAGAAATCCAACACTTCCCTTCCCGTACTAGGCACCTGTCCCAGGCTCTCCTTCTGGCTTCACGGGGCAAAGCCACAAGCATCTCTCTCTACCTTTGGGGATACACGGGTGTAAATTCAAATATTGCAACAGGGCTATTTGCTGTTCGGTTAGAGAGTCCCTCAGAACGGTGACGGTTCTGGAAGTTTAGGGCTCATGCTTGTGGGACGCGGCAGCAGGACAGGAAAACTCACCGGTGGAGGGTGGAGGCGTGATGTTTGGCTTTGCACACAGACGGCCCTGACCGAGTGGACATCACCAGCGGGTCTGCGCCCGGGGTGGTCGGCACCGTGGAGGCCGAGCTCAACTCCAGCCTGACCCTGCGGTGCCGGGCGGAGTCCCAGCCGGGCGCTGAGTTTCACTGGACCCTTGAACAGTCCACCGCTGTGCATGCGGGGCAGGTGCTGATCATCCGGGCCCTGACCTGGGAGCGCCAGGGGATCTACGGCTGCACGGCCTCCAACCCGCTGACCCAGCTGGCCCGCTCTGCCTCGGTCCGGGTCAGAGTGGTAGGTGAGTCCCCCAGCGTCCCTTCCCCTGGGGTCCAAGTGGCTTTTCCTGATGCCGGCCGAAGCTATCTGGGCTTCTCGCATGGCAGGGAATGTGCTGCGTGGGCAGGTTCCCAGTGTGGAGCTGTTCGCTCCCAGCCTAGAACCTCTGCTCCCTAGCCGTGCGCCCCCTGGGAAACCCTTCCAGGCTGCTCTGAGCCTCAGTTTCCTTACCTGTAAACGGGGGTTGTGATGCCTTCCCTTCCAGAGTTGTTTAGCAGTACAGTGAGTCGGGAGACAGCCCCTGGGTGGAGGAGTGAGGTAGGAATTCTATTAATGATAGGAATCACACGAATCACAACTGGGTGTGACTGGCAGCGGGTCCCCGTATTTCTGTCTTGAGTTCTCGAGGGGACAACACGGTGTGGCTCTTAGCCAGGGTTCCTATGCCAGCTCTGGTGCTTGATAGCTGTGTGACCCTGGGCGTGCTGCTTAACATCTCTGGTCCTCTGATTACTTGTAGGTAACACAGACATAATAACCGTGCTTATATCCTAGGGTTGTTGAAAATGAACCGACAGGGGCGCCTGGGTGGCGCAGTCGGTTAAGCGTCCGACTTCAGCCAGGTCACGATCATCGCGGTCCGTGAGTTCGAGCCCCACGTCGGGCTCTGGGCTGATGGCTCAGAGCCTGGAGCCTGCTTCCCATTCTGTGTCTCCCTCTCTCTCTGCCCCTCCCCCGTTCATGCTCTGTCTCTCTCTGTCCCAAAAATAAAAAATAAACGTAGAAAAAAAAATTTTTTAAAAAGAAAATGAACCGACATTCGTAAAGTGTTTATGGCAGTGCCTGGCATATTGTGTTTATTAAACAAATAGAATTATTCTTTGCTGAGCCTGTACCACATGCTTGAAACAAGCCTTTCCATATACCGTATCAGCAAACACTTCTTGGGTAGCTCCCCAGCCAGCCGGCTCTGAGGTGGGTCTGCTGGCATCTCTGTTGGGTAGGAGAGACTGAGCCCTGTCCTAGGGTCTGAAGCCAGGAGCGACGTTTTTAGTCGTCGCCGAGCAGAGGACCCAGTGTACCTTCCCAAGCTACCATATGTAATCTTCAGAACAACCCTCTGGTCTTGTTAAGACCTTTTTTTTTCCTATTTTTTAAATGCTTATTTAATTTTTGAGAGAGAGAGCATGAGTAGGGGAGAGGCAGAGAGAGAGGGAGACGCAGAATCCGAAGCAGGCCCCAGGCTCCGAGCTGTCAGCACGGAGCCCGACGCGGGGCTCGAACCCATGAGCCGCGAGATCATGACCTGAGCCGAAGTCGGCCGCTTGACCGACTGAGCCACCCAGGTGTCCTCAAGACCTCTTGATGAATGGAGAAACAGAGGCTCAGAGGAGGAAGCAGTGAGTCCGGTTGATGGTCATGGGGACGTTGTAGGGTTTGAACGAGATCACGTATGAAGGGCTCTCGGAGCTCAGAGCCTGGGGGAAGGCAGCGTGTGGCATCATCATCACCGGATCGTATCATCGCCTTTCACCAAGTGCTTACTCTGTGTCAGGCATGGCCCGGGTTCTTCCAAGTGGGATCTCACTTAATCCTGGCAGAAGCCTACAGGGTCATGAATGGCCATGCTCATTTGGCACAGGAAGAAACGAAAGCTCAGAGAATGAAACCAAGAACCCCCATCGCGTCCTGGAAGCCCCCCTCCCGTGCCTCCAGGGCAGAGCCCCTTCCTTCTTAAGAGCAGTGTCCCCCTTCTTTCTCCTTGCCCAGGCCCCCAGTCATCCCTGTCTGCAGGAGCCATTGGTGGCATTGCTATCGGGATCCTGGCTGTCATTGCCCTGTCCGCAGGGCTGGGCTGTTTCCTCTGCATCAGAAATGCCAGACGGTAAAGCTGGGAATGGGGTAGGAGGTGTGGCCTGCAGGGGGCCTGCCTGGCAGAAGTGTGGCTGGCCGTGGTGCTGAGCTGTGTCTGTAGCAACTGGGGAACTCGGGGGGGTTTGGGACATTGCCCAAGAATAGACGTGGGATATGGGTAGGGCCTGTGAAGATGGTAAGGACTGGAGGCACACGAGAATGAGGGATTTGGGGTTTCAGGTTCTCAAGGGAAAAAGCAGAGGACCCCATCCAGGAGGCAGCAACACCCACCTCCGAGGAGGAGCCCCATGCAGAGTCCTGTTCCAGTAAGTGACTTCATAGCTGATGCCCGGGGCAGCAGTGGGGGCTGGGAAAGAAGCTAGTATTGGGAGCCTGGGCCTCTGCTCCCAGCTTTGCCACTAGTGTGACGATCACGCATGAGATTGGAGCCAAGAACTCTGAGCAGTTGTGTCTGTTCCAACAACCACAGCAAAAATGGGGCGTTAGTTGCCGTCGTCTCCTTCTCCTCACTCTTGGAAAACTTTGCTGATGGATTGCTGATCCCTGCTGAACCCAGAGCCAGCCTCACAATCCACCTCAGCACCGTGCTTCCCGCACCCTCTACCGATGGGTGGGAGCTGACCAGAGGCAAAACGAAACATCTTTGACATCTCCGGCCTAGGATTCTGGAAGGATGGGCCCCATGGGATGGAAGTCCTAGACGCTGTCTAGTTCAGCTCGGTTTTACAGAAAGGAGATTCATGTCCAGGAAGGATAAAGGATAAACCCGTGCTACAGAGGACCCCCTGGCACAGTTAGGGCTAGGTCTTAGATTTCTGTCCCTATGCATCTCATCAAACGGTCTACTCTAACCCAGAGCTAGATTTCCAGGACTTTTCCAGGTCAAGCTCACCAAAGATGTGATGGGGAGGTGGTCCTGGGAAGAAAGGAAGGAAGGTTTCTTGCACCACCTCACCTTTCTGGGGAAGGGAGTGACCTAGGAAAACAGCCCCTTCCCCCACATCTCTTCCTAATTCCAGCCCTGGGCTGGTATTCCCTTTCTGTAGATTGGCTGAGCCCCATGTATGCCAATTTACCCAAACCTCAAGGACAGGTTGGAGTCAGAAAGGTGAGCAATGCTCCAGAGGTCCCCCTCCCTGCTCCCCTGACTACCTGGCTCATCCCCAGCCCAGTAGGGCTGTGTCAGTCCCACCTCTTGGGTTGGGGACTTGAGGATACCCAGTGCTAGCTTGGGTCTCTGCATCTCCTCCCCCGCCTTCTCTGGGGATCCCAAGATCCTCCCTGACTCTCTTCTCCTTTGTCTTCTAGCTCTTCAACATGACAATGTGCAGCTTTGAGCTCCTCTGGGAGTCAGGACGGACGGAAATGCCTCCGAGGCCAAAGCTGTTTCTGGGAATGTCTGGGGGCGGTCCCCATCCCAAGCCCCATGACCTCCTCACCACTTTCTTTTCCCCCAGATGCTGCCACCAGCTCCCCCAGAGCAGTTTTATGAGGTATGTTGGCCCCGCTGGGCCTGATATGAAAAATCTGCAGAGGGACTACAACCTGAGAACTTTGTATTGGACGAGTCTGAGAAACCATCCTGTGTAAATAGTAATTGTGCATTGCAGGGCCGGGATGGGGAGAAAGTAGCCCAAGGCTTTAGAGGCAGCTGGGTCAGATTCCAGGTCTCTGGCCCCTCCTGTGTTCCTTTCACCTCCGGGGCTCTGAATTGTATTGCAAATGAGGTGGCACCAGCCAGGCACACGCTGGGGTGCAAAGGAAATCTTGGAGTAGAGGTTGCAGAGGTCGCCAGGTGGAAAGACAGAGTTCTAGATCAGGGGCAGGGCCTTGGGTCCTAAACCTACATTCACTTCTGATTCTTTGTAAGATCCTGGTGAAACCTGTTCCTCTCTCGGGTCACTGAAGAATGCAAGTTGACGCTTTGTAGACACCGTGATTTTAAGGCAGTCTGTGCCCGTGGTCCCTAACTGATCTCTCCATTCACTCACAGAAGGAGCCGCCATCAGTAACCCCCGGGAACGATTCTCATGGCCCCAGAAAACCATCGCCCGAAGTTACATTGGATCCATTGGTCCCCACTCTACCGAAAGGAAACGCAGAATCACACTATGAGGTACTTTTATGCCACCCTGAATCTTTGGATAGGTCAAGAGCTGTCACCAATCTGCTGCTTCCTCCTTGATGGGATGTCTGCGGGATAAACTATCAAGAGAATTTTCCCTTAATCGTTTTTCAGTTCCATCCCACCCATTTCCATCCTATCATGTTCTCGTTCGCTTCATTCTCTTCTTTTCCGGTCGACTTGGTCTTACTCCATTCCATGTTTCTGTCACATTTGTTTTCACGCCACCTGTTAGAAGGCGGAGAGGGGGCAGGAATGTATCCCCAAACTGAGGAGGCACTCTGAGACCAGAAAACAAAGCAGGTGACCCCATACAGTTTACGCAGATTTTCATTCAGAGTAACCTACTGAGAAGGGGAGATCGGGTGGATGATAATCCAGGCACCTGCACAGCAGTTCTCCAGAAAGTCCCGCTCTTCATCCACGGGTTTTATAGAGTGAAGTCAAAGGGTCTAAGGCTTAAGAGACCTCTTGCTGCCACCCGTGCACCTGTGTGCCAGGAGGCGTGGGGGTGGAGAAGAAACTATGTCATCTCTACGAGTTATCTAAACAGCCACACGGAATATCAGAACGAGCCTTCCCACATTCGCTTGGGGGATACGCTAACTTCCCAGGTGCACGGAACACGTCAGCCACCCCCCCCCCCCCGGGGAGGTCATCTTGCAGATGTGAACAAGACGGGGTCAGTACTGGGGACACTCCCACACCGCGTGTTTCTTTTCTATCCATGTATTTGTTTACTGAGAGAGCGGCAGGCCACGCAGAGCCCGATGCGGGGCTCCGTCTCACGAACCGTGAGATCATGACCTGAGCTGAAATCAAGAGTTGATCGAGCCCCCCCCCCCCCGGGGGCCCCGGGGTTGTTCCCGTAAAATTCCTTCTGTTTCTCTTACTCATTCGATTCCATTCCTTTTCCTCTCTTCCCACTCACTGAACCCCGTCGCGCTCTGTGGATTCCATCCCACTCCACTGTGTCACCCCATTGTGCCCCTTTCCGTCTCGCCCTCAGCTTCTTTCCCTCCCATTCTTTCTCACTACTTTTCTATTACGTTTTGTTCACTTTTCCCTTCTAATTCCACTTGATGCCTTTCTTCCACGTTCTGCTACCTTCTACTCTATTCCTGTCCACCCCTCTTCCGTCCCATCCCTTGGGCTCACTTCCATTCTTTTCGTTCTCACCCCATGTCATTCCTGCTCTTCCCCATTCATACATGTAATCCTTTCTATGCATTCTGGCTTCCATCACCCCGTTCCTTCCTGTTCAGTATCCCTGTGTACACTCAGCTCTGTTTCTTTTTTTTTTTTTTTTCCCAACGTTTATTTATTTTTGGGACAGAGAGAGACAGAGCATGAACGGGGGAGGGGCAGAGAGAGAGAGGGAGACACAGAATCGGAAACAGGCTCCAGGCTCCGAGCCATCCGCCCAGAGCCCGACGCGGGGCTCGAACTCACGGACCGCGAGATCGTGACCTGGCTGAAGTCGGACGCTTAACTGACTGCGCCACCCAGGCGCCCCTGTTTCTTTTTTTTTTTTTTTTAATGAATTTAAACATCTTAGTTTTTAAATTTTAATTAATTAATTAATTGTCAAGTTAGCTAACATACAGTGTGCCCTTGGCTTTGGGAGTAGATTCCCGTGACTCATCACTTACATCCAACATCCAACACCCAACACCCAACAAGTGCCCTCCTCAATGCCCATCACCCATTTCCCCCACCCCCTTGTGCCCTCCGTATTTAAAAGCCTCTTACGGTCTGCCTCTTTCTCTGTTCATAACTATTTTTTTCTTTCCCTTCCCCCATGGTCTTCTGTTCAGTTTCTCCACTTCCCCATGTGAGTAAAAACATACGATATCTGTCTCTGACTGACTTATTTCACTTAGCTCAATGCCCTTCAATTCCATCCACGTTGTTGCAAATGTCAAGATTTCATTCTTTTTCATCGCTGAGTAGTATTCCATTGTACAAATATACCACGTTTTCTTTATCCATTCATCAGTCGATGGACATTTGGGCTCTTTCCATAATTTGGCTATTGTTGATAGTGCTGCTGTAACCATTGGGATACATGAGCCCCTATGAATCAGCACTCCTGTATCCTTCGGATAAATTCCTAGTAGTGTGATTGCTGAGTTTTAGGGTAGCTCTATTTTTAATTTTTTGAGGAACCTTCACACTGCTTTCCAGAGCGTCTGCTCCAGTTTGCATTCCCACCAACCATGTAAAAGGGATCCCCTTTCTCCTCATCCTTGACAACATCTGTTGTTTTCTGAGTGGTTAATTTTAGCCACTCTGACCAGTGTGAGTTGGTATCTCATTGTGGTTTTGATTTGTATTTCCCTGATGATGAGTGAGGTTGAGCATGTTTTCATGTGTCTGTTAGCCATTTGGATGTCTTCTTTGGAAAAATGTCTATTCATGTCTTCTGCCCATTTCTTCACTGGATTATTTGTTTTTCAGGTGTTGAGTCTGGTAAGTTCTTTATAGACTTAAAAATATTTTTTTTTAATGTTTTTATTTATTTTTGAGAGAGTGAGAGAGCGCGCAAGTCGGGGAGGGGCAGAAAGAGAGGGAGACACAGAATCCGAAGCAGGCTCCAGGCTCTGAGCTGTCAGCACAGAGCCTGATGTGGGGCTCGAACCCATGAACCGTGAGATCATGACCTGAGCCGAAGTTGGACGCTTAACTGACTTGGACACTAACCCTTGCCTGGCTTTCAGTTCATTCCACTGCATTCCCTTTCTTCTTATCCTACAGCACTACTTTCCCACTCACTTCCTTTTCTTTTCACTTATTTCCTTCTTCTCCCTGTATTTCCTTTCCCCCCATGCCTCCCTCTTCCATTAAATCCACGTTGCTGTTTCCAATTTTTTCACTCTGTCCTCTTTTGTCCCTTTTCCATTCCTCCACATTGGATCCCATTCTGTTCTTTTTATTCCCACCCGCTCCTGTCATTCTTTTGCATGGCACTCCCTTCCAGCCGCCCGTGTTACTTCCCCAACCATTTAACTTCGTGCTTTCAAGTCCTCTCCCAACATTCCTTCCCATTTCCTTACCCTCCACACCATCGTACGAACTCCATTTAACTCCATTTCCTCATTCTAGATTCTGCAGCGTTCCAGTTTGGTGCCTGCACTGCCATTCTTGAACTCCCAATTACCCTTTGGCATATTGCTTTTTTGTCACGTGTTCTCCATCCCTTTCCTTTCCTCAAATGCCTTCCCTTCCCACTCTTGTCCATTCAGTTCTAATCCTGCACTCCGTGTCGTCAGTCTCCTTTGCATGCCAGTTTATGTTATTCTCTTCTTTTCCTCTGCATTCCTTTCTATTATGATTTTTCTATTTATTCCATTTCTTCATTTACATTTTTTGGATGCTATGCCATTTATTCCACTCCATTCCCTGATTCCAGTTTCCATCCAACCTCACCCCACCCCACCCCACTCCATTCACTTTTACCCCACCCCACCCATCCCATCCCATCCAATGCCACCTCACCCCACTGCACTCTACTCCAACTCTACTCTACTCACCCCACCCCACTCTACTCC